TTTCTCTCTCCTTCTCCCTCTTTCTCTCTCTTTTTCTCTCTTTCTCTTTCTTTCTCTCTCTTTTTCTTTCTCTTTTTTCCCCTTTTCTCTTTCTCTTTCCCTTTCTCTCTTTCTTTCTCACTATAAGTAATGAACATACTATAAGTTTTTGAATTTACTAAATATTATACCATATGGTAATATAAGACGAGAAAATAATTAAATATGACAAATTTAATTGGAAAAGAAGTTTACAACGATTGCAGTGGCAAATACAGTGAAAATTCAAAAGCTTACAGTATGCTCATTGGTTATAGCTTGAAATGATATGAAAATTTAAAAATGTTTATACCTTGAAAACATACCATTTTGTTACGGTAAGAATGTTTTGCTGTTATAATTTCTCGGAAATGATGCTGTAAAATTCATTTTATTTTATAATAGCAATAAATTGACAAGGAAATATTCTTATACATTACTTGGTATGTTAAATGCGGTAGAAATAAGAAGGACTAAAATGAATTACTAAAATTCAATTAATAGTATTTATTTATGCAACAACAAAAGTGTCAAAATAAAAGTAATTGCGGAATGATGAGCATGAATAAATTAAAATTGGGGTCGCATTCTTGAGCTGATTAGGCATAAGAGAATAACTAATTCGGTAAACCGATAAATATAATGCAAAGTTGAAATTAATTAAGCTAGAATCAAATGGAAGTTTAGGCTAATAAAGCTGGAAGAGAATAAACATTTTGTTTGATTAAGGTAGAATGAGGCAAATTGTTTGGATTAATTAAGTTAGGATTTTAGAATATTATTTAATTTATCAGTTCCACGATAATAGACTAATTTATTATTAAAAAGTGAATTTCATCGAATTCATTCTTATAGATACGATATAATGATAAAATCTTTGTGATAATATAACATAAAATGTTATAAAATGTTATATATTAATGAAATAACATTTCTTGATATTTTAAAATATGAGAAAATTAGCATAATTCAAACATATTATTACATTTCTGAACGTTAAATTAAAGGACAAAGGTCATGGAATAGATGTCATCTCAAAACAAAAATGCTTAAAAAAGTGAAAAAACGATAAAGAAATTGTTTTTTTTTGCAATTATTGAATGAAATAATTATCAGTCTTGATTTTCATAAAAAGCGATTTAAAGTAATTCGATCCTATAACAGTATAGAATAACTGTAAACTGGAATATGCATGATATTTTTTCAAAAAATTTTATTAAAAAATAATGTAAATGGAGAAGTTATGTTCTAATTACATAAATCCCATTATCTTTCAGATTTTTCAATTAATAAAGTACTTTTTACTTTTTTTTTTAAAAAAATTTCCGAATAATTTTAAAACTTCTGAGATAAATTAATTGATTTTATATCCAAGCAAGCAGTAAGTGCGAAGGAAGGATTGATAACATGAGAATATTAATGAAACATTTTGATTCATAGCAAATGTTAAATGAAATGTTATTAAAGAATTGGAAAAGTTTTATTTATCGAAAGGTTTTTTTTTTGTTAACTGAATTTTGAATTATTAAAAAAAGTCAATTTTATGAATTTTTCTACGCTTAATATTTCTGGTAATTGCATAAAAAATACGCAGATTGCTTGCTTTACCGAAAAAAATTAAATTGAAATTTAAAATTGTTTTAATTTAATTATTAGCTCAAATATAGTGACTGAATTTGCTGATTTGAATTTTTTAAGTTTCATTAATTTTTTAATGAAAGAAATTTTTTGTTTTTCTTTTTTTGTGCTTTTTTTTGCAAAATATATTTTAAAACAGTTTGCTATGCTAGGTAAAATAATAAATATTTTTATCAGATATCCATCCTTTTTAATAAATTTTAATGAAATCCCATTTCGATGTACAAATTTTAAAGACAATGAAGAAGGAGATATTTAAATGTTTGAATGAAATGTACGAAAATCAGCGAATAACGGTAACTTATATAAAAATTAATTTTTACGAAAATCTTGCCACTTTTTTTCATTATTTTCTATTTTTTCAACATTATTTACAATTTTTGAAATTGATGTAATATTATAATAATAGGGAAATTAAAAAAAATTATTAATGCGACAGCTAACATACATGTTTGCATCGCCGATGGTAAATTTCTGTTTAAATATTCATTTAATTACTCTATTAATTAATAACAAAATTGGAAGTGAATTTGGAATGATTGCCAACATTACTTTTTACTTCTACTAATTTATACATAATTATATTTTTCTTTCTTTTAAATATTTGAAAATAAGCGAAAAAAAATCACAAAACTAAAGAAAGAGCTCAGTTGAAAGCTGCACTTCGGTTGAATTGAAATTAAAATTGGAAATGAATAAAACTAAAAGGGGCATGTAATTCATAGAATTACATTAACTCATAGGATTAAATAAAAAATATCAATTTTCAATATATAGAAGAAATGTATAAAAATCAATAACTTTCATTTTCAATTTTAACGAAAAAAAAGGAGGGTTAAAGGTTAAAAAATTTTCCTTTTTTGATTTATTCCCTACAAAAAAGAGATAGAAAAAAAAAAACAAAATTTCATTTTTGTTTTGATTAGTTTAGTGAAGAATGAAAGATTATAGGCGAGAAACCGGCTGTCGATCCGATGATGGATGAGCAAATTGGAATGGGCGGTGGTGAACTGGATTGTGAGGAGGGTACGTCATCACCGCTCAACAATATCAGTACCAACGAGCATCTTACCTCATTGATTGCTCATATGGCCAATAACACACGAACTCAATGTCCGGAATGTGGCAAACATTTCCGTAAAGGTTTCTTTACAGGCATCCTAGAACAAGTATTTAAATTTGAACAAAAAAATGGCTTTTTCTTTTCCCCTTTTTTCTAACACTGAAAATAATTTGTAAAATTTCGGTTAACTATCTCCAACAATCATCGAACATTGTATGACCGATTTCCGGATGAGTATGAAATATTTCGGAAGATTACATGTTAACATTCTAGCTCGATTACATATATGAAAGCGATCATATATTATAGTATTTCGAAAAATTAAATGAAATTATTCTGGATGACTGGTGAAAGCATTCCGGAAAAGTGTATGTGTGTAAAAAGCACATTGTGAATGATAATTTATATTTTATTCCAAGCAAAATGACAATGATAAAACAGTGTTATGAAAAAAAGAAAACGAAAATGAAATTTCTTCCTTCGAAAAGCCGAATGTCATTTAAATTATATATTATGTCACATTCTATACGGTAGACATAAATCACTTCATTTGACAATAATAAGGTATTCATTTGACAAAATTGTCAAAAAATGGAATTGAAAAGAAAAGTTTAAACCAACTATGGAAGGTAATTCAACATTTCAACATTTCGAATGAATGAAAAAGGTGAGGTAAATTGTTGTTAATTGATAATTTTAATTTTTTAGGTTCATCACTGCAAGTGCATATGACACTGAATCATGGCTTTCCACCACCGGGTAGTTCCATTTCATCTGATGATCAGGCTGAAAAATGTTCCGATTGTGGTACTTCAGCCGAACCAGGAAATTTACAAAATGAAAATCCCTCATCAGCACCAGTTCATCAAGAAATCAAAGAAATCAAATCAATGATCGGTGAATTGCGATCAGCCCAAAGTACAGCACGTGTTGAACAGGTAATTCTTTTCTTTATTAAATGACAATCATTTATTCTTCTGCTGTATTGATAAATCTTTATTTATGAAATTTTTGATTTTTAACGAAAATGAAAATTATTTTTAATAATTCTAATAAAACTTTTAATTGGATTAAGCAGAAAAAAAATAATTTCAGTTATTAACTGGTTTGGACACACGTGTTGGACGGTTAGAGAAGCAACTGGAAATGGCATTAAACAGTATTTATACACTGGTTCAGCTACAAACCGGAATTAATTCATCCGTGACGAGGTTCAGGGAGGAAGCTTGTGAGCAGCTGAAAACGGTCAAAGCAATGCTCAGCGAGTCTTCCGTTTGATAAGGTTTCAGGATACTTTGACAAGGAAGCATGCAAAGATAGGAGAAAAAAATTGAAAATTCTTTTTAGAAACAATTTTTCTTTTGCAAAGAAAAAAGCGAAAGAAAGAAAGAAAGGAAATTTTCAATTTAATTTTACTAATGAAATTAATCTGTGAGATATTTTTTAGTTCAATGGTATTGCTCTTTTTGACAATTTAACTAATTTAATCTTATCAATAAATGGGAATAAAAGTGCGAAGTTAAATTTTTCAAAAAAAGAGGAACAATAAAAATGTCTCAATTTTTTAACAGGAATGAAAAAAAAGGAAAAGAGAAGAAGGTAGAGAGAGAAAGAAAATAATTATTTTTATTTTCTTATCTTTTGTTTGTTTTTATTTAATATCTCTTTTTCTTTTTTATTTTAAATGAAATGGTAAT